AAAAATATCTGATAAAAAAATCAAAGTTCTTCATAGTGAGAGTAAAGAAACAGAACTAAATTACAATGATTTATGTTAAAATACTTCTTAAGAAGTAATTACCCAGTCTCAAAATCAAAAAATTCAGCATCTGCTCCTGCTTTTCTAGCATGGCGTTCACCACTTCATTTGAGTGCTATTTTTTAAAGATTACAAATACCCCTTGCCATATCATCTCTGAAACTATATCAATGTCTTGTACACTGTAAGTGATACATGATCGTGTGTTTTTATTTTATTATATTGGAAAATATTTGGTACTAATTCCACAAGGCCACTATATAGGAAACATCTGACACGCTAAACTGAAAGTACTGCACCCTCATCAATAACCTTTCTGTCATATTAAAAAAAAACACACATTAGAAAAAACACATACATTAAATAAATTTGAGAACAATCTTCTATAAACTCAAAAATCAGTTCAAAAAATGTATTATAAATATTATACATTCCAAATAACCTTCAGAATGAGAATGATAACTAAAGTCTATCAGCTCTCACATTTTAGTTCTGCTGCCCCTGGAAAAGCCTAGGTTCACCCTCACACAACCGGAGCTGAGCTTAGGACCAATGCTCAAACTCATAAAGAAATTAGCTCTGAAAAAGCACTCAACTTGAAATAACCATTAGAGCAGAGAATGATTACTCAAGGCAAATGATTCTTACACAAACACTATGAAAATTTTAGAAACAGTAGAGAAAAAAATAACAATTGTATAATTGTTATCATCAATTTCTATTGATTTCTATTTTGGAGAGTTTTCATAAAGACTCAAAGATTAATCTAAATTCTATGCCTAGCTGTACCCTATGACCAAAGTTTTTGTTTTACTTTGTACATAAAGCTACCTTTAACTTTGTTACTGAAGTTTGTCCTTCACAGAATACAGGCTATAAAAAATAAAACAAACAAACAAAAAAAACACTAGAAAAATATTGTCAGGTGCAAAAAGAAAAATCTCGAAAACCCTTCTTATTCAAGAAGCAAGAATGCTTCACAAACAGTAACATTCTTGCATATGATTATCTGCATTACCAAGCTAGAGAGGCAATCCTGATTTTACTGGAAAACTGATGCGGTTTTTATATTCTCAGACTTGACTGCAAAGCAGAGCCTGTCAGTAGAATGAACACACAGTGCTCATCTGTGAAATCCTACAACACAGATGGCAGCAAGACCATGATTCTCATTGATTTAAAGGGGTAAATTTATTGCAGTATTTTAGAATGGCAAAAAGCAACCCCTTTAGGCAACACTTATTAAGCATGGCACATCACATTAGCTTTTAGCGTACCCCCAAATTTTGATGACTAGCACCACACAGATCACTCACTTAAGATAAAATCTTGGGGGGAAGAATTTGCACATAAATTGTGACCAGTTACTCCTCCTTAGAATGATGTATTTCCCAAACAAAGATTTATAGCAAAGGCAAAATGCTGATAAACATTTATGTACTCAAAAATGTGGCTCAGAAAGAAACATAAAAATGACGTGTCTACGGGCTAATCAGCTGGGAAGATATCAAAACACAGTGTTACTAGATAAGTGAGAGCCAATGGCCTACCCTACAGTATTTGGGTTTCTATACCTCTTAAATTTACATGCAAAACTTACATAACTCTCAGTCAATTCATTGTTTAAAAGCAAAAAAACCAACTACTGCAAAACACCATTTGTACCCACTCCTTTCTCAAAGGGCAGATTCATATCACATGCTTTTTCCTCAGTGATTCCTTGGGACCTGCTGCGTATGTTCTGATTAGAGCATTTTTAATTACACTTTAGCCTGTTAGCACTATAGGGCCAATAAAACTAAGAGAAATAGAACTAAATTCTTTTCATTCAACACAACTGTTAACTATATTCCAATTAATTACACCTACACAAGCCTAATGGAGATAATGGGGTTGCGGAGAGTTCACCCATGGTACGAAATGGCTTGCAGAACCCTAACCTTAATCAGTTAACTACTTCATAATAGATAGGATCACAGGATAAGTCATCCTCTTTCTACATGCTTACAATTACTATTATTGTTAATGGAAATTACATGGCCATATCGGTAATTCACATAACCCTCGCTTGATCACAAGCCAAAAATGATAAATATTTAAAGGGAATTCCTACCCTTTCTGCCGCTATTTCAAAGGGGGGGAGAGGGGGGCCTTTAATTTTTCTTACAGAATATTATTAAAATTTCATGCTCTAGGCCAAACATGAACTTTCTTTCATCATGCTGACTCTGCAAACCTCCTTCTGAGGAGAAAAATACCCACAGAAGCAGCAGTCCACCTCATGAAACCGTTTTGCACTAGGAAAAATTAACTAGATTTTCTCTTTTCACTTTTTTTTTTTTTTTAAAGGAATGGGTAGTGTCAGTTTAGAAACTTCTTCAGGGATGACTATAAGAGGCGGGTTCAACTCTCCCGAGAGGCACCACACCATTTCTGAAGGATGTGAAAGGAAAAGAAAACAATTCAGTGGGGATTTTTCTTCATTATCGCCCAGACCGGAGAAGCGAGCGCACAATGCACAGGGTCTGCTCGTATTGATTTGAGAGCTGGGCAAGCGTGCAGCTAACAGCTTTTTAAGTATCTCCATTTTCAGTTACTTCCAACAAAATTACCAATGAGCGGCGTAACAAAGTGAAAGTTTTCGTAGGAAATTGCACACTAAAAAACAATCATTTGGGTTGTGAAGCGCTTCTTTTCATTGAAAGCAGAGGTCTTTTAAATGCTGAAGCAGAGCTACCAGGGTGTTTTGTAGCTTTATCCTCACTGGACGCTTTGCAAACTGCAATCTGTCTCTTTTTCAGACGATCATCTTGAACAGCTTCGGTGCTCAGAGACTTTGGCAGTCAGGAGCACCTGCTTTGGGCATTCTCGCTTGGAATGACCGTAGCCAGCCTCTGAGGAAAGCGCAGAGGCTGCGTGTGTAAAAGAAACACAAAAACAACAACGAAAAAAATCCAGATCTACCGTTTCAGCGCAAACAAAGCAGCAGTAACAGTCGCTGCCGGCGCGTAACGGCCGTGGGACGGTAACGGTCGCCG